AACACACCTCCCACGACACAAGCTAATCCAAATTCACCACTGATAATTCAAGATATTAGCTACCCCAATTTAAACCCTGAACTAGACGATATTTCAATGATTGTCAACTTGGACAATGAAACAGATCAACCTGACTGTCAGGAACTTCCTACCGTTGACAATACAAATACTGACAAAGATATAATCAATGAAACAGAACAAACTGACTACAACGAACTTCCTTTTGTTATTGACAAAACCAATACTAATGAAGACGAACTTGACAAGGATGATGAAACCCGGCACTCTAACAATGAACACCCGGTTGTTACAATTCCTATATCAGACCAACCATTGAACTTTGGCCAAAATCAGATCGTAATTAAAACGGTCCTGCACTCTCCCGCCAAGCCGAAAATCATAATTTTATTCGAGAGAAAACAGCGGCTATTAGTGCAAATTTCAAAGAACAACCTTGAATCAGATGTTGTAAATTTTGTCAAGGAATATATTGTACCCGATGTCCCATACTATATATATTTCGAAGATCCTGACATATACGAACCCTTCTCAGGCGCTTTACAAAAGTATTTTAAATGGCCCTCTATCAAGTTTAAAAGGTGTCTTGAAAAACTTCTAGACATCACTAGTAATGATGAAATTAAAAGTTTAATACAAAATTATCATGAAGGGAAATCAAATCATCGCGGGATCGATGAAACCTGTTCTCGCTTAAAACAAAAGTACTATTGGCCAAATTTGAAAAGTTCCGTTCAGTCATACATAAATGACTGCGAAATCTGTCAACAAGCCAAATACGAGAGACACCCTGTTAAAGCGCAAATGAATATCACTCCCACTGCTGTGAAGCCATTTGAAATAATTCACATGGACACATACACATTTGAAAAATCTAAATTTTTGACCATTATCGATAGTTTTTCAAAGTACGCTCAAGCTTACCATCTCAATTCAATGACAGGTACCGAAGTAGCTGACAACCTTATCCGATACTTTTCCCATCATGGAATCCCGACACAAGTTATTACTGACAATGGCACCGAGTTTAAAAACTCAGTCATATCCGAGTTATTAGGTTTACATGGAATCGAAATACATTTCTGTTCCCCGAACCATCCCCAGTCAAATGGCGTAGTCGAAAGATTTCATTCGACAATATCTGAGCAACTCCGAATTTTAAACACTCAAGGCTTTCAAAAAACATCTGTCCAAATGAAAATGATATACGCAATCTTAGCATACAACAACTCTGTTCATTCTGTGACTAAATTAAAACCCATCGATGTCATAAATGGTCATCTCAGTGAAAAAGATACATTTGACATCAGCTTAGACCAAATTTTGTTGAATGATTATGTAGAACAACACAAAGCACGCAGTAAGCTATTATATACCAAAATCAACGAGGCGCTTGTTCAAAATAAAGAAAAAGTAATAGAAAAGGCAAACATAGCTCGAGATAGTGCAAAAATATTTCAACCAGGTCAGAAAGCATTCGTTAAGAAAAATATACGTCAGAAAAATGCAAATAAATTCCAAAAATCATGTACACTAACATCAGTCGATCCTGGTAAAAAGACCGCTACTACTGATAAACACAATAAAGTACATATCGATAATTTGAAGCGTCCCCTTCGCAAACCATATTCATTTAGCAACTAAATGTTTCTCTCCAAGTACGACATACATACATGTAGGTATTATTCATTTGCAGATTCCTGCAAGTAACGGTTGGACTTCAGGATAGCATAACTATACGTAACCTCGACAACAATCCAGGACTACTTCCCGTGGAAATTGGTGAAGCAAAAGTAAAAGACTATGACTTTTCACTCATTCATTATTATGATATGAATCCCATCATTTCTGAAATTGAAAAATTATCAATTTCCTCCTCACGTATAGCAGAAACCATTTCTTCAAATTTAAATGTCACTACATATTTGTCCAATTATTTCAGAACATTAAAATTTGTTCAGCGACAGGTAGAACAAAAGTTACATAATATATTTCCCCATACAAAGCGAGGAAAAAGAGGCATATTAAATGGCATTGGATCGATATTCAAATCAATAACTGGAAACCTTGACGCCAATGATGGCGAACGTTTCGAAAATCTAATTCGAGAGCTTCAAAATAATCAAAGAGAATTGACTAACAGTGTCACACAGAATAATGCACTGTCAGTATCTCTTATTGATAAGTTCAATAAAACTGTTCAGCAAATCTGTCATAATGAACAATTGCTGAATAATAAAATTAATACCATATATGCAATTGTTCATCGTACTACAATCGATTCAGATCAGCATAAATTCATAGTAGACACAGTATCTCAAATTATGAACAGCTACGAAGTAACTCTGTCAATATTACAAGACGTTGAAAATTCAATAATTTTTGCACGTCTTGGAACAATTCACTCTAGCATTATTACAACCGAAGAAATTTTTGGTGAACTGAAACTATTGAGCTCAAGATTAGGCCAGGAAAAATTTGCGATTCCAGTTTTACTAGATAACATACCAACTTTTGAAAAAATAATCAAAATCTCCAGTTATTCTGTGGGCAACAAAATTACATTGGTTTTATCATTCCCAATCTCGTACCATGAGTCATTTAACTTATATCGTCTCTTTCCAATCCCGATATATTTTGAAGGTCAATTTAAGACTATCATTCCAAAGGAGCCTTATTTGGTAAAAAATGAATTGCACTTTGCACTTTTCGGCGACATTTGTACTGAAATTACTCCTAAAAAGTTTCTCTGCGAGAAGACCATCTTGCGAGACATTAATGGTCCATTACCCTGTGAACTTGAACTATTCAATGGAAGAAACGCCCCTGCATGTGCCCGAACTCCACTGATAATCAATCAGCCAAGTATCGAACGAATCCAACGGACTAATCAATGGGTATTGATCCTGCCACTACCAGAAGTTATCAAAATGGAATGCCACGAAGAAATTCAAATGAAAAGATTGACGGGAACTTACCTACTTTATATTCCTGTCAACTGTCAAGCCGAAATTAATCACCAAATCATCAAAAATGAACCCGAAACGATTGTCGCGGGCCAACCTATAATATTCCCGGATTTAAACCTGGACACTAAAGGCGACATCACAGAAACAAATTTCAGTCTGCATCTAGAAAAAATTAAGCTAGACGAGTTAAGTAAAATCAAGTCAAGCATTATCAACAACAAACCCAACTTCAAAAAACCTACAGAATTTTTTATACCCAGTGCCTGGACACTGATAATATATGGATGTATATTACTCTTGGGTGTCTACGCATTCTGGAAAACCATTTTGAAGAGGAGGAAGCTCAGAAATAGAAGTATTCAACAACCAGAAGTCGAACTTCATCCTATTCAACTTCCTTGAAGAATTCTTCCCCGAAGTTGAATCTCAGGGGGGAGGAGTTATATCAGCCGTTCCTGCTGATATGATAGGAATACTGCCGACGATGCTACTAATTTCCTAGAAGACCTAGAGTTTACTTTATTGTTCTCAACACATTTTACAGTCAGTCAGATTTAAGCCTTTGTACTGTTTACATCGTAATAACATTGTAATAATTTTGTAAAAGTACAGTTTTGAGTTTTGTATTTTCGAAAAATAAACTTTTTAAAAAGCGATCTCGAAGCATCGATCTTATAACTCATGCTTCCGCCCGCCTTCTCATGGAATTGCGCCCTCGTTGAACTGCCGAGGGATTCATTACCATTGATCCATAATATCACTTTTTTCTTTAATTGTCAATGTTTTGTGCTTTCGCTTTTGACTTGTGAAGACATTACTAGGTACAATGAATAAACAATGAACGCTCGCTAGGCCGCTATTGTAATTAGTGAATATTTGCCGTTATTTTTATGCACAAGGTGATAGGCATGTCGGATTACAGGGAGCGCTGGATTGGACAGAGTCCGAAGTATCGCGGGTCCACTGTATTTTAGCGAATAAATAATTATTATTATATCCGCTGCTAAAAGAAGCGTTTCACTGTACACACTGCTACCGGATGATGATAGATGAATTTTGCGCATTCTGTTAGTTTGAATAATTTGAAAAGATCTGTTGTCTGATCTAGGCGTGCCGCTTCTAGATAAAAATCAATCTCATTCGCAATAGCTACTTTGCTCTTTCACATATTCATCTTTCTCCATATTTTTCTGCAACCTGTCTTCAGATACTGTCGTGTATTTCAACGGCTTTGTCATTTTTATTGGCATTTCTTTGCGTACGAAGTGAGCTGCGCTGAAATTAGACAGGTCTTAACCTGTCACCCGCGAAATATGCAACTACAACTGGAAATCGATGCCGAATATTCGGAGGCCGAGCATTCAGTTCTTCTGCCAACACTATGGCCGGATCTCAGTAGTTGGCATCTCTAAAAAGTAGTGAAGCAAATCTTATATCAGAGTTATCAGATTCTCAAAATAATTTGCGATATCAAATCCGGCTCTGCCTTCCAAGGGATTATGTGAAAAGATACGACGTGCAACCTAGATTCCCAACGTTTCTACTATAGCGCCGGAATCGGCACCATCTAGCGTGCACAGTGGTGACCCAGCTGACAATGTGAACTGGGATATTGAAACAGATAACTTGCTCGTAGTGGTGGATTCCGATGATAGATGTCACTTTGTGCTGTCTTTTGTGATAGACCTTATACACTTTACAGAGTAGAGTTGCTCAGCTTTCGTTGTTGTCCACCGAGACTCAGCCTACACCATGCTGAGGAGTTGAGAAATAGCACGATACAGCTGTGCTTTGTTGGCCGTCTGTGGTCGGTCGACTGAAAGCTATATTACTGGTTTACCCTGTGTTTAAAGGCAAACCAAATTACCATCATCACAACCTCTTTAGGCAAGTCCTTGTTGGTTACTACAGAGCGGTCCTTAACTCGTTGTCCATAGCACTAGTGTGTGAGTTTGTTAGTTCTGGTAAATGAGGAATTAGCCAATGTTAAAATCAGAAAACTACAAAATGGGAAAAATGATAAAGAGGACAAAGAATATTTATTCTTGGTTCAGTGTAACTAAGTGGGATAATCTGTTTTTTGTGACGTCAATTATTATCTATAGGTGCCATCTAATGTATTATGTATTATCTACTCATGAAGCTGTAGTGTTCACTTCAAATTACATCCCACACATGCAAGACTATAAACTCCTCTAAAAACCTAAAAAATAGGAAATTTATGTTATTTGTCAAGGAAGTACAGAAAATGATATATTGCAGCCCAGGAATGGCAAGATTTAAAGCAGTAAATCCCACATATTATTGCTTAGCACAAGATAATGAAGAACCACTAGTTTTTCAAAGAACCAGTAATTTCGGGACCAACTGATAAATGAATCCCACGTACCGGGACTTTAGGGTCAAATGGAGTTTTTGCGTTAAAGTCAAGTTAGAATAGGCCGGGATTAGTACGAATTCCATATCACGTTTTTGACTTATTTAGTTGGTTATATATGAAAAACAGCGTTTTATTTCACTTATATCACTTATTATAAGAAACTATTTTCTTAGCTATGTATCCGTATTCATCAATAATTAATAACCCGCTGCAAAACAGGGGGATAGCGAAGTTCTTAATATGATTCAAATTCATATTTTCATGAACAAGTTTATTTATGCTTAGTTTTCGTGTAAGTCCCGGCACTATTTTTTACTTAATATTCTCGAAGTGCATCAGCCACTATGTTTGATTAAGATCCGAGCGACCAGAATCTGCTTTAGGAATAATCTCTACTTGAAACTGATATGATACTATTCCAAGCTATGTTGTTAAGAAAACATAACTAACTGCCGTTCTCATAAGCAAGGGCAGTGAAAACATCGAGATAGAAACAATTCATTTTGTTAAATGTGTTACTTACATCCTGCACGTAAGCATAATTGATGGACCTCATCCCATAAAAACTAAATGCCATTCCTTTTCTGGAATTCATCAGCAGTATGTGATATAGCCTTTTGTTCTGTTGATTCCATGTATACCATGGTAAGCTGATTAGAACGTCGTAGAGTTCGCTGGACTGAAAATATCCAAAATATTAGCAGCTTCAAAAATCAATATGTTATTTATTCTGCTACTTTAATATACTAAGTGACATATAAATCCGAACACCCAGTTTAAATGGTTTTATTTTAATAAAATTTTGTATAAGTACTTAATGAAGCATAATAAGTAAATGATAAAAATTTCAAAATGATTGCACTGCTTTAAAGCCCTTTGACCTTTAATAATGTGTGGATGCACCCTGATGTGCTACGCATTCTCCAACGCGCCTAGGCATGCTTCTGATCAGGTGGTCAATGTCCTCCTGTGGTATCTCATTCCAGGCAACCACCAACTCCTCTCGAAGTGCTTCTAGAGTCTGAGGAGGACGTTGCAAATTGAGCAATCTCCTACCCATCATATCCCACACGTGCTCAATTGGGGATAAGTCGGGAGATCTTGGTGGCCATGGTAACAATGTGACATCATTATGTTGAAAGAAGTCTATTGTGACTCTTGCAACATGTGGTCGGGCATTATCTTGTTGGAAAGTTGGATCTGCCAGGGTGTCAAGATAGGGTAAAAGATGGGGTTCTAGAACTTCGTGGATATAACGCTGCGCGTTCATGTTACCTCTGATGAAGATTAAAAGTGACCTGGAACCATAAGCTATAGCACCCCAAACCATAACTTCAACAGTGTGATGAACATGTCTTTCAACAAAAAACTGTGGATTCCTCCTTTCACCACGTCGCCTTCTAACCCTGGCACGACCATCGTGCATGCCTAAACAAAATCGAGACTCGTAACTAAAGACAAATACTCTTCCATTCCTGATCCCAGAGTGACCGTTGTCTGCACCACTCAAGGCGATTACATCGGTGTTCTCGAGTTAAAGGGAGGAACCAGTGTGGCCGGTATGAAAACAAGCCAAAACTTCTCATTCATCGGTAAGCACTTCGCATGCCAATAGGTCTTCCGTGTTCTGCAAACCATTCATTTGCAATGGACCTGGTAGTGGAGAAACGGTCCCTTAAGGCCAATAATCTTAGGCGGCGATCTTCACGGTCTGTTGTTCTACGGCGGCGTCCAGTGCCCCTTGCTCTTTGCGTACGGCCTTCTCGAAGCCATGCCTGACAACACCTAACCACAGTGTCTACACTTCTTTGCACTCTAACTGCAATTGCCCGAAAAGAAAGTCCAGCTTCCCGAATTCCCACTATACGGCCCCTATCAAACTCACTAAGTTGACGAAATCGTACAGGTCTCCGTACTCTAGGCATCGTAACCGATCGTAAAGGATGTCAAGAACCAAAATCCGCCAACGTTGATTCTTTACTGCGGCTGAAATATTCATTTTTAGAGCGTTAGTGAATTAAAAAAAAGCAGTATAAAAACCGGAATGTCCAACTGATCAGGCTGAAAATTTTTTCACTTGTTATTTACAGTAAGATAAATACATTCACCAACTTTTATTAAAATAAAACCATTTAAACTGGGTGTTCGGATATATATCTCACTTAGAATAATATACAATTTTTAAAATAGGTTGCTCCTTTGTAACATTTGCTTGACACAGAATCTGACATACGAAATTTGAACTCGCGGTCAAAAATCTTCGAACAGGTTATTTGGAATAAACTTTTTTAAAACTGTCCACAGTTCATTCGGTTACTGATAAAAATGTCTTCTTGAACAAATTTACTACAGATATAATTTTTTCAGATTATGAAACAATCACTTAGGAACAAAGAACCGATGAGATTGAATATGAATACCTACTGTATCTGTTAGCTTTTGTCCACAAAAACATAGCGTTACTGCTGTTGAAATCCACTTAAACATAATTGATGCGATATTTAGATCCCTGTATTGTGCCTGGAATGTACAGCGTTCGATTTAAGATATTGCAAAAATGAAAAAAAAACTGAATTTCTTACCGTTATGATGATATATAGACAACCGGTCAATGTAACGACTGCGTTTAGCGAAAAATATAACATCAGTGAACCGCCTACTTCATTCAATTGTCGCCCTGATCTGAAACGTTTTGAAAAATAACAACGTTATGTTGTCCAATTTTGATGAGAAATGCGTTACAATAGGTCGAATTCTAAGAGAAAAGCCGCAGCCACCAGGAAATTGAAGTCAAGTGCAGACTTGGCCTGGCAACCTATTTTCATGTATTGCTGTCAGACTGCCGAACTATTGAAATCCTATAGAGGGTAGCGCATCGAAAACGAAAAAGACGCATTTACTGGCAGCTCAGTTTTTTTTTTGGAAAAACGATCAGACGCGTCGATTTTGTTTTCGAGGGGGACACAAGTTTGGCAAAACATGGCGTTAACACGTGCAGCCCCCTGGGGCAGGGGTGACACCAACCCTAAAATCTTAAATGGAAAGGGGGGTCGAGTGATACCTTATTTTAAAGGTCTTTCAATTCCCTTTATAATGATGTAAAATACACGTGCTTCAGTTCAGTAGTTTTGAAGATTTATTGGTTTAAAGCTTAAAGTAGACTTTAATAGGTACATCAGATTAGTTTGTACTACTTTCAGAAGAAATTTGACTAAAAGAATTTACTTAATAAGTAAATGCTTTTCTTCACTACGTCCATGGTTTGTTTATCATTTTGTTGTTGAAAATAGTTATTGGAGCGTTTTTTTGTGGCAAAAAGTTATTTCTTGAAGAAAGATAAGGAAATATCTCGAACTTATTTTAAATAGGAATTTAGTACATAGTTTGCGATTGATTTGACCAAACTTTGTTGATAAAATAACTTGTAATGCTTTATTACATAAATTAACCATGGCATATTCCACAGCAAAAAGAGTTGAAATTATCGAAATATTTTTCGGAAATAATCAGTGCGCTAATAGAACAGCAGAAATATTTAATGAGCGACATGAGAACAGTAACGTGCATCGAAAATATGTTCTAGAACTTGTAGCTAAATTTCGGGAAACTTGGTCAGCCGCCAATAAAAAACGCAACATTGAAAATCCCATAAGGAACGAAACAACAAAGTGGGGGTTTTAGGACAAGTTTATGTAGATCCTACGTTAAGTACCCGCAAATTGAAGACTGTGTGTGGTGTTGGTAGACGTACTGTCCAACGAATTCTAAATACCCATAGTTTTCATCCGTATAAAATTCACCTGGTACAAGAACTTAATGAAGACGATTTTGATCGGCGATTACAATTTTGTGAAGATATGAGTGAACGAATTCTAAACGACGAACATTTTCTGTTCAACACTCGCTTTTCCGACGAGTGTTCCTTTTTCTTAAATGGCGTAGTAAATCGTCATAACTGCCGATATTGGTCCGATTCTAATCCCAGAATTTATCATGAGGTTCATACACAGCAGCCATAAAAATTAAATGTTTGGGCTGGTGTTTTTGGCGATCATTTAGTTGGTCCATTTTTCTTACCTGGAAATTTGACCGGTGAAATGTATTTGGAATTACTGGAAGACGCCATAGATCCTGCATTAACAGCCATAATTGAAAATCAGAATGATCGGCAGTACATTGCGAATAGGTTGATGTTCCAAGAGGATGGTGCCCCGCCACATTACGCATTACGTGTTCGACAGTGTTTAGATCATACGTTTCCAGATCGATGGATTGGTAGAAGAGGTGCCATTGAATGGCCCCCAACATCGCCAGATTTATCACCTTAGGATTTCTTTATGTGGGGTCATTTAAAAAGCAAAATCTATGCTACTCAGCCAACATCATTAGAAGACCTGCGACAATGAATTGTGAATGAGTGCCTTCAAATTACTCCTCAAATATTGCAAAATGTGCGGCAACGTTTTGAGCAAAATCTTTATTATTGCATGGAGAGTCATGGTGGCCATTTTCAACATTTACTTGCCTAACGGGTCAGTTCATTCTTCATTTTTAAATTACTTTGCTGCCAAATGTATTGATCTCCACTAAAGATGATGTATTAGTTTTATTTAAGCTTTAAATCAATAAATCTTCAAAACTACTGAACTGAAGTACATTAATGTCATTATAAAGGGAATTGAAAGACCTTTAAAATAAGGTATCACTCGGTCCCCCTTTCCATTTAAGATTTTGGTGGTGGTGCCACCCCCGCTTAGGGGGGTGCACGTGCTAACGTGATTTTTTGCCAAACTTGTGTCCCCCTCGAAAACAAAATCGACGGGTCTGAGCGTTTTTCAAAAAAAAAAACTGAGCTGCCAGTAAATGCGTCTGTTTCGTTTTCGATGCGCCACCCTGTATAATTTAATCTGATCTAAGGAATATAAGCTGCCGCGTCGCGTCTTCTAAGATCTAGCTGAGATACAGCAGCACGGGTATTATGTAAAAAATCCTATAAAACGTCAAAAAAAAAAACAATAAAATTCCATCTTGCAGACTAGGTATTTTTTAGGATGCGATCATTCCACGTTTGCTCACTAGGATTGTGAGCGTCCATCTATGAAGCAATAGCTCAACTACACGCATTGTTGGTTGCATATGTTTTGTGAAGCCGAGTTAGTCTATAGTTTTCATCTCTGAGAAGAAAGTTGCTTGAATAGCAATATCGCATCTGGATGATAGTGTGCATTTGCTGTGTGAGAAAATCATTACTGAAAATGCTGCCAATGAAGTATATCTATTAGCTGTGCCCGACGGGTTATTTATATGTTGTCCTTTCTGAAGACAGGTTATGTTCAAAGTTATAAATTACAATTTTTTACGTATTTTTTTGTTTTCAAAAACTTTGAGGAAAATTACGGGAAATCACCACCGCGCCCGCGTTGTGTGCAATTACTGTTAGCATGTACTATATATGACTCGTAATTCGACAGTGTGTGACAAACAACCAATATAATGTCAAAAAAAAAATCGACATAATGTCGCTTCTCATGATACGTAATACACGTGCCTGACCAGATGCTGCCATATGTTCATGATAGCTGGGCTATAGTTGTCATAGTTGTAGCCAAATCATACCTCATTATTTCAGAATGTTGTCTTGCTGCATATTTCAAGAAAGTATTTACAAATTTCTGATCAGCTGTTCTGTTAAGAGTTTCACTGTGTTCGAAAATGTTGATGAATAGTACTGAACTTGCAGCCGCCATTGCTGAACCGAAAATTACCAAAAATATAGGAAACATAGCTGATATCGAGTCCAGTATGATATAGAAAACAATTCCATATGTATCATATGATCCGAAACTTTCTTGTATGTACTTCAAACTATAGTTGTACCTCTTTTCGGATTCCAGTGAGATGAATCTACGTATCAAAAATACAACTTTAATATGACGAAACTGTAATAATATCACATTAATTTATTCTCGTAGTCGTGTAATAAAATGGAAGACAGTACGAGGGATGTCTTTTAAGTTTTGCATATAGAAACATAGTAGGCCGCGCGGATCGAACGTCAGTACCGAATCTTAACGTCACTCTTTAGTAAACTTAAATTTAAGGTTTCACTACAATACGTGCAGTGTTCTCACTACAGTGAATTTTTTAGTGTCACCAAGTCATTAGAAAAATGGAACTCAACCGAAAATGTATTACCACTTTCAGAGACAATTATCGCAACAAGAATGCCTTGCTGAGTTACTGTCTGTTTTCGGCAACGAAGCGCCACATCAGTCGACAATTTCCCGTTGGTATGGAGAATTCAAACGTGGACGATCGCAGGGTGGGTGCACCAAAAACGGCAGTCACCCAGGAAAACGTCGATGCTGTGCGCAAACTCAACATTGAAGATAGACATGTGACATATCGCGAGATTGAGGCGTCCTTGAAGATCTGAAAGACCTCAGTTCAAAAGATTTTACGAAGAATTAGGAGTAAGAAAATTAGTTTCTCATTGGATACCCCACCTGTTGACTGAAGAGCAGAAAGCAGCCAGGGTTAATTGATGTCAAAAAACGTTTGACCGTTTCAAAAAACAAAACTCAAAAAATGTGTACATCATTGTTAGTGGTGATGAATCGTGGATTTACTGTTATGAACCAGAAAATAAACGACAGTCGGCTGTTTGGGTGTTCCAAGGTGAAGAAAAGCCAACAAAAGTCATCCGTTCTCGAAGTGTTTCGAAAAAGATGGTCGCGACATTTGTGTCAAAAGCGGGTCATATTTATTTATTTATTTATTTATTTATATACAGTTTGGGGTGTTAACAGGTAAACCCAACACACACCCTCAGTGAACTAAAACTAAACTTACATAAAATATCGTATACATATACATATATTACATTATTGAATACTTTAATATTAATTTTTTTTTTACCTTCCGCTATTGTTGTTACAACATAAACTGAGTTAGTAGTTCTAAGTATGAGCAATAAACTATTAATTTAACCTTTTTAATAAAAGGAGTATACATAATTGAACATTTACTTACATTTTATTAAAAACTGGAATCAAAATTAAATTGAAATTATACCGCAAAATGAAATTAGAGGTGATAACTTGAGTTATGTAAACGAAATAAAACATTTCTATTTTAGTCTGCCATAGAGACGTAGTACTCATACTTTAAAGCCTTTTTCAGGCAGGTCAAGCTAATGTTAAATAAATCTATATTACAGAAATTATTATGGTTTTTTTGAGCCCTGACCAAAGGGGAATTAAGGCCAAGATTAGTTCTACGGAACGGTATTCTAAATAGATGATAGGTTCTAAACGTGTTAAAGTTCAAGTTTGCCAAAATATCCGGACAGTCAGTGAGGCCATTCAACAATTTATGAACACAGCAAATGTCAGAAATCGTTCTAATTTGCGTATAATGATGATCTGTAACAGGTTGGTGAGTTTTATGTGCTAACATCTTCAAAAATTTGTGTTGAATTCTTTCTGTCCTGGCTATCTGTACATTGTAAGACGGATTCCATATTACTGATGAAAACATCAATTTGTTGCGTATATAAGCGTAGAACAATGAAAGAAGCATTTTTGGGTTCGTAAATTCTCTGCATGTCCTGTTTATGAAGCCTAGTGTTCTATTTGCATCATTTACGTGAGTGATGAATGAGAGGTTCTCATCAATGTATACCCCTAGGTCTTTTACTACATGAAGCTTTTCCAGTTCTGCCGTCCCTATCTTATATCTGAAATCTATAGTGTTCGCTATGTTTCTAGTAAGCCTCATGTAATGACATTTTGTTAAATTCAGGAAGATACTGTTTTCAGTGCAATACTTTTGCCGAGATTTCAAATCGCTTTGAAGTTTTACACCGTCATTTACATTCCTAACAATTCCTCTAATGAGCAAAGAACTGTTACTGCCAATTGGTATACTAACATTTGTTTGCCAAAAGTCATCACCGAGCTTCGAAAAATCAACCCCGATAGAAGAATCATCCTCCACCAAGGCAATGCAAGCTCGCACACAGCCCACAAAACAAGGCAGTATTTAACGGAAGAAACCGTGGAATTATCGGACCATCCTCCATATAATCCCGATCTAAGGCCTAACGATTTCTTTACTTTAAATTAAAAACAGACTGCGTGGTCAAAGGTTCCAGTCACCAGAAGAAGCAGCTGACGCATTCAAAAATGCCGTTTTGGATCTGCCAGCAAACGAGTGGAATAAGTGCTTCGAAAATTGGTTCGAGCGCATGCAGATGTGTATTAATCTTCGTGAAGAATACTTCGAAAAACAATAAAGTCATTTAAAACTACCTACCGTGTTGTTTTATTTCCATATGCAAAAATTAAAAGACCTCGTAGCGGTACGACACTGTCGACGCGTTGTGTCTTTGGGTATCGTTGACATTCGCACAAATGCATATGTTAGCAGTGGCGCACAATGCGTGATGCTGCTATCTTTATATGGATTTCACTGTAGTATGATCTGATATTATAGACACAGACATTAACGTTCGCATTTTTTGACGTTTAAGTCATGAGGTAAATATCAAGTGTGTTTAACATCAACGTTTACGTATGCGGTATATCTTACCTTGTCAGTTGCCCAAAAGATAATACAGAAATAATGTATACTGTGATGATTTGGAAAATGCGATATTCACGTTTAACTCGTTTAATGTTTTTTTTTGTTTTCGGATTGTTTCTCCATAAAGTAATCAATACACTGTTTACTACTTGCAAGTTGTCAACCGCTATAAATATGTAGTGGAACCAGCCCAACCCCCTCTATAACAAACAATAGACAATGAAATTATTTTGTTTTAAAATTGTAAGCACTAGTTTCAAGAATATCGACAGAAGGTAGTGAGTGCATTGGTATTTGGTAGAGCGGGATTGATTAATTCTTTGCGGGCGATTCAGAAAAGTGGCAATACTTTTAGGGCATAAAATGACCCAAAAAAAAATACATATAGGATCCTAAAATCTGATATACAGGCTGTTGAAGTTATAATCTCAAAATTGAATAAAATTATTTTTGGAGTGTGTTAAAATATTGACTTAAAATTTCGTATATTTAGTACCAAAGCGAAGCCAATACCCACAAAAATGTTCGTGCCTGAGACTACATCAGTGGTGTAGAAATATGGAAATGTTTACCACTATAGATGAAAGAAAATTAGTTATTACGACACTGACTTTTTTGGACCATGTATTGCATTTTAGAATGAGAGAATTTTTCATAATTCCATCTATAGAAAATTTTTGTATCAGGCTAGCTTTGGAGAAAAAATGGTTTAAATATGTGTCGTGGGATCCTTATAAAAAATGTCTATCTCACCACAGCGATAGTTGAACAATATAGACATCTACAATACCCTGTATCTTGATAATTAGACATTTTAGCATATATGGTTATAGGATTTTTTGTTATTTTTTTATTTACTTTAAAAATGGCCTTTGTTTTTTCGAGTCTTTCTGTAAAAAATAGCAGAAACATAATCATACTCACAGTTATTATCATCAAAGCATAAGCTGCGTAAGGTCGCATCTCCTTCCAGTTATCTTCTGTAACTATATTGATGATTGTATGGACGTTAACATAATATAGATATAACAAAGCAACCAGTATGACAACAGTTATAGACCGGTGAAATGAGACCACATAGTTGCAATATATGCCGTAAGCTAACACTGGATTTTCTGAAAAGATGAAATGGATTTTGAATTAATTTATGTTTTAAAATTAGTTAACGCAGAGATCGTCCAAATACATAAACGCACGTCTTTAAGATACCTCAAGCCTTAGTGCTGAAACTAGCGAAGCATACAGGAAGTAATAAAGCTTCCAATTTGATGAAGGAGTATGATAGAGTAAAGGAATACTTTTGAATATGTTCGTAGAGAGAGATGGGGCTACTAAGAGTATGTTCCAGAATGCAGGATGCAGAGCGTTCCTTCCCAAACTCTTACGGTAATGACCTGTATGCGTACCTTTTAACATGCGTCGGTTAAATTCAGGAAGCTTTTCTGAATTCATGGTTGCTCACAACTGATACTACTGATCATATATTTACTTAGTTTCTGACTACACTGGCAACAGATGCCTTATGTTGATGAATTGTGATGCGACGTTTGAATGAAAGACATCAACTTAATGTAATAGTTTGAATAAGTAACAAACAAGAATCGTTGACAAAATGGATCTTGGGAGTTGTATAATATGTAAAACACAGTAACATAAATAATGTCTCAGTGTCAAATTATTCATCGAAAACTACAAACGAGGAATACTAGAGCATTCGTTGCCGTATTCATCATCAGTTATCGAAATTGTTTATACTTAATTCCACCCATGCACGGTAGTATAGCGTTTTTAGTTGTAACGTAGTTCAAGCGACAAAGTTAAAGTTCTCTGATGGTACGTCTCATTCATCCCCAATTTTTAAGTCCATTAAGCACAAATTGTTTACTTGATCATTCAATATAGGTTAGATGACAATTCCAATAGACAAGTGAGTAATGTGGTAGGTAATGAGCAAATCTATTCCATTAACTTGTACACTAATATAATTCCTAATAACGATTCATATAAATGCAATTTAATGTTTTACTCTACAGACTACATTATACCTGAACATAAATTATAGCATCAGGAAGATATTTTCTTTCGTAATGGTAGATTTTCGATTTCAATCGAGTTCTTGGGAATTCAGAATTAGAAGGTTAAGGCGACTTCTATAGTTTAGGAAAACTATTGCGGAAAAACGCTAAAAGAGAGTCGAACAAACAGGAAAACTGACTAAATTTTATAATTTAAACATTACAAAGCATCCAGAAGATCATTATCAATTCGAAAATACACTCCGTGGTATGTAGTTTTTCGTAGAAATTACATATCGTTTTTTTTCTTGATCCATTTAATTTTTTTTGTTATACATGTTGATGATTGATGACAGCGTTGCGTGGGAAGTGCAGAGTCAACCTACTTGACGCCATTTTTTTCCAATAATTATGCCCTTGTACCCCAAAGTTATATTTTCATTTCCCATTACTGCAACTGAAGGAGCCTCGGTACACTGAAGAAGTTTGTGACGCCGATTTCGAATATGATCAAAAAATCCTAGTGTCGCGAAAGTGTGCGTTTGGGAATATGGGCCTTTTAGTCAGCCTCACCAACTAATAAATCATCATGTTGTAGTTAGGGTTGAAAAAAAGCATGTTTAAAACAAAAAAAAATCATGTTTTTTTGTTTAAAACTGTTTTTTTGTTTAAAACATTCAAATTTAGCTGAAACAAACATGTTTAGAACACTAAAACAGTAAAAAAAAATAAAAAAACCATTGCGTATATAATCTAGCAACATTAAAGAAATTCCTTGAAAGTGTTAGGTAATTACTATTTTTGATCCAGCTCTATCAGAGCACTTCTCTAATTTAAAAGCGGACGTCGGGGAAGTACCGTAGCTGATATACTTACTTATGGGCGTTCTGCACCCATTTTAAATTTATTTGCACAAGATATTCAGGTGCCACTTTTGAAAGAACTGCTGCTATTGAAAACAGAATATTATGTATTAATTTAACAATATGCTCAGTATATGAACACATTAATTTGTTAAGATGCTACAATTGCAGCGGCTACAACCACACTGCTAATAAATGTACCGGAGAGATGTTCTGTTTAAAATGCGGTGAGATAGGACATAAGGCAGATAGATATATGCACGAAATCAAATATATCTTGCTCAAATTGCTTGGAATTTAATAATTAATTTGTTGTGAGTTGAATTTAAAGATTGATCAGTCTGTTTTTGACAAACTAAATTGCACAGTAATGAGGAGAAGCTTGAAACAGCTAGAAGCAACATAAATTACGCTATTATAGCGATCAAAGGACAAGTCGGAAAATTCATCGAAGAGTCCAATCATTGCTCACAGTGAAGGCGTCACGAAAAATTGTAGCACACTAAACGTAGCACATGTGAATATTAGATCACTTATTTCAAGCTTTGATATGTTTTCAGACGTTATGCTAGAGCAGAACCTTCAATTACAGCAATAACAAGAGACTTACACATGATTTTCCTTCGGATTTAATTACTCTGCCAAATTACCAGCTGATTAGAAATGACAGAGAAGAAAGAGGAGGTGGAGTAGGTTTTTACATCCAGACCAACATAAAATTTAAAGTCATTGTAACAACATTTCTTCGAATGGCATTGAACAACTGTGGTTATCGCTGAAACTTAATAATCAGACCATTGCGGTAGGTGTTATCTATAGACCGCCATCTATTGCATTAAGTCTACTTTCTAGCCTTGAGAATAACCTTGCTTCTATATGCATTATCCATGATGAAAGTTATACTGATGGGCGATGTGAATATTGACCTCACCGATAAGTCTTCCAATCCCAGTAAAACATTTTTTCAAACCATGGCATTATTCAATCTCGTTCAGGTTATTAACGAACCCACAAGATTTACCAAGAATTCAACTACAATGATTGATGTAATTTTTGTATCAAATACGTTGCATGTGCGCAAGAGCGGCGCTATAGGCATGGGAGGTATTACTGATCACAGGTTATGCTTCTGTGAATTGAAGATTGAAATTCCAGAATACACTTCTAAAACATTTTATTATCGTGACTTTCCCACTTTAATTATTATGAATTTGCTGAGGATGCAGCTGCTGTGAACTGGCATGATATAAATAATCTACAAAGTCTTGATGATAAAGTCCTCCATCTTACTGAGAACATTACCTTGCTGTATGACATACATGCTCCGATGAAAAGAATTACACCTCATAAGTTCTACAGGCCGTATGTCACCTATACAATAAAACGTATGATAAATTTAAAACGAAAAGCTTACAATAAATTTAAATGAACTAGATCTGAAACAGATCGATTGTTTTATAACGATCTTAGAAATTACTCAGGTGTGGCTTTAAGGAATGAAAAAACAGCTTATATAAAATATCAACTAAATAAGAACAGGAATAATCCCAAGCAACTATTGTAAGACTTCGCTAAATGGAATATACATAAAAAATCCACTAATCAGATATCTCAGGGCATTGAAGACGCAGAAGCCATCAACAATCACTTTGTGAATTCGTTGCCAACCATTCAACCTGATAAGTTATTTCTTAACACTATCTGGACAGAAAAAGTCACTCGTAACTAAAAGTTCGTTCCATCTAATTGCATCTGATGATATTGAAAAGAAACTGAGAGAAGTGAAATCAAATGCTGCTGTTATAGATGGTATTACTACAATCATGCTGAAAAATGTATTTTCTTTCTGCAAAAGTGAAATAACGGATATCAAAAATCAATATCTGAACACAGAAGAAGTACCAACATTATGGAAGAAATCAGTTGTAAGGCCACTAGCAAAAGTCAATAACGCTATACAGATGAAGGATTTGAGACCAGTAAGCACCTTACCTGTGATGTCCAAGCTTGCAGAGAAAGTGGAAGCTGACCAACTTAGTGACCAACTAGAAGTAAATGAAGTCCTCCCAGAAACACAGTCGGGATTCAGAAAACTACACAACACATCCACAGCGCTTATAAAAGTAACTAGCGATTTAGTCAAGTTCATGGATGATGGTATGGTGACCATATTGGTGATGTTAGATTACAGTAAGGCATTTGACATGGTCAACCATGAAGTATTATGTAAAAAGCTACAATATTATGGTTTGTCTAGTAATGCCTTACTGTGGTTCAACAACTGGCAGATCCCAGTGCACAAAGATATTTAACAAAATGTCCACTTTACAAAATGTCCACTTTACAAAATGTAATTTCTGGTGTTCCGCAAGGAAGTGAATTAGGTCCATTACTATTTACATTCTATACATCTGATTTATTAAATTTTATATCACATGATTGGAATATATATCCATATGCTGATGATGTACAAATGTATAAAGCTTGCAAGTCAAATGAAGTTAAATCATTGAATTTATCTTATTAATCTAGAAACGATTGCAAACTATTCCAAAAATTATTGTTTGGAACTGAATCCCTCAAAAACTAAAGCTTGCTCCATTGGTTCTAGGTTAAATATTTCAAAATTTAAAGAATTGATGAGTACAGACATTGTTTTAGGTGATAGAGCTGTTGAAATTGAAAATCCTTTTTCTTTTTAGAATGTTGTCGTTTTTATATTTTTTATGTATATACATTCCAATAAAAATTATTATTATTATATAATTATTCTGCTGCTCGTAGCATACTAGTATTAGAGTTCAATGCAGTTTATTAAATTCATTCGTTCCTTAAGAAACAGATTTTTTTCCACTGGTATTAGTTCCCTAGTTTCATGTTTGATTAGTTAATAAAAAATTAAGTATATTTTTTAGTACCTATGTGTTTTAACCTGGCCCTTTTAGATTCGTTTTGCAAAATAAAATCGATTTTAATCATACTTAAAAAAATAAAAAAAAAAACTTGAATAATTCACAAACGACAAAAAACATTGTTTGTCTTAAACAATGTTTTAAACAGTTTAAAATATCTTCATTGTTTAAAAACACTCGTTTTAAACATTTTGATTAAAACATAAAAACCCTGGTTGTAGTTTATAATTTACTATATCATCAGTGATAAAACCTTCATAGTGTTACACTGTATGTAGTCAACCGTGTTAATCACGTGACATCACTATATGTATGCAGCTTACATACAATGCCGTGCGTGCCTGACTAACTGCATATAAATTATAACGCCAATAAAAACATGTTCTTGGGGTTAAGATCGCGAGTTGACGATGAGATCCAATAAATCTAAAGATAAGGCGAAACGATGCAATTTTTCAGCATTTCTATTTGTATTGCGGATGCCGTCTGTTTATAGGTCGACGATTACAGTGGCGTTGGAAGTTTGCAAAGGAATCACTGGGCCAGTTTACAAAATTCAAGTTCAGGAAGATCTCTTTAAAGTCGAAAGATAACAAAACCGACGCGGCTACTTTTAAAGCGTTTTTATTTCGAAATTGTCTTCTGTGCAAAATGATTTGTGTATAGCAAAATGCATGATGCAGACAACTTAAGTTGAATGGTCTGTTTATTCGCTTCGATAAAATAAAGGTAGACTTTCTAAAACAAATGATAACACTTCACGTTGCTAAGAAGCTGATTTTTTAAGTTTAAATAAACTTTCAATGCATTGGTGTTGTTGCTAACAATTAAAAATGTCCATTAATGTGCTTCAAAACAACTTAGTATCCCAAATTGAACAAATGCGTTTAAACAATATTGAATGTGTCTTCCAACAAGATGGTGCCGCTTGCCATACGGCTGAAAGAGTAAAAGATTGAATGGTAGAAAACAATGTTTCAGTTTTAAAATGAACATCGAGTAGTCCAGATCTATCGCCGATTTAAACCACCTTGTGGCATAATATCATGAAGAAAAAGCTGCGATCGAATCCCGCAAGAACCGTTCTAGAATTGTGAACCCGTCTCCAAGAAATTTGGAACAGAACACCAAATGACTGTGAGACTGTCAAGACGTATCAAACCAGTAATCAGTCGAAAAGGCGGCGTAACGCAGTGGTGATTTGCTGCTATTTGGTTTCGTTGATTTTTATTAATCGGCAGTTTTTTTGAATTTGCAATTATATTTTTTATTTTTTACAAAAAATGTTGTATTTTAGACTAATATTAAATAAAAGTATCGTATGTTATCAGAAATGCATTCTAATTTTTAATACGCTTTCGCTAATATGTCAAATTTCATAAAAAACGTAGTTTTGATAGTTGGGCCAACTTCACTGAGACAGGACTCGTACATGTCGTTAGGTACCTAGGTCTGGTCACTTTTTGTGTCTAATTGATTACACATAATGGGACACCAACATCAACTTTCCTGCGATTCCCGAATGTCAAAAAAAATCAGGCATCCTCACAATTCGGAGGCCTCAAGAAACTACTGCCCATTTAGCCCTTAATCGGCAACACTCGTACGAGGTACATGGCACAGCAATGGTCAGCTATTAAGTACTCTCCAGTATGCAATACATTAACTCATAACGTTAATTTGCTCCAGACGCATTTATTTGTAACTATTAACACAAGCGAGTGCTTATAAACAGTATTGTTAGCGACATCGTCATCAACTTGGCCGTTGCAATAACATAAATTGGCCATGCACTTGTACGATTGATCGTGAAACATGATTGCGATGAGCTATGGGGTCAGAACAAAAATACCAGGGCGTTACTCCCAATATTGCAATACATAAATTATCATTTTCTTTAATACCAGATCGCCAACCTAATGTTATATTCGCGCGCCCAAAAAAAACCCGAGAAAATTAGCAGCGTCATCTACGAGAATTTGTCACAGCTGTTTCTCTATTTACTATATACATGTATACTTTAAAAAAGTTAGTGTAGTCACCTATATACCTGTATATACACAGCTCAGATACTACGCTTTTTAAAGTATATATAGTAAATAGACAAACAGGTGACATATGACTCTGTGGTATCTTATTTTAGCTTGGATAATTTTTTGGATGCATGAGTATAGCATTAGGTTGGCTATCTTCAGATATAATTCAATAATCAATGTTAATAGCAACCTAAGTTCCGGAGCACTGCGACTGCTAAAAGGAATACTTGAATACGCCTTGTTAATCCTATTTTTGAACTGCATAGGG